GCTCAAACTGTTCTTTTGACCATATAGAGGGGTAGGCATAAGTAGTAGGCCTATCATCACCTGTGCTTGCTTCTAATGGTCCTCCTGCATTTGCAACTTCTGTGTTCTCAATTTGTGCCACCGTGCACTGGACTTCGTGCACGGAATCATTTACCATACATGTTTTTCTGACTTTAGCATTTGCGTTTTCATCATCTCTGTCTTTCCTTTTAAACATTTGAAGAATTGTTTTCTGCGTTTTGGCGCTTCTTCCTTGCAAAGCTTTTAAACGTTTTCACTCACTTCCTGAGTGAAACATGTGATAACGAACCAATCACAAGAATGTTTTGAGTTTGAAGAGTCATTTATTATTTGTCCGAGCTGCAACCACCACTAAGAGCCCACGATCCGGGATCTGGTTAGAAAATCCAACGTCTCAGCGCACCAGTGATGCAAAAATTGATCCAATCACTAAAAATATATATTTTTTAATAATATTCGGGTCGCGGTCGGTCAGGGCGTTTGAAATAAAGATGCATATTAAACAATTATATAATTTACACATTTTTTATAAAAGACAAAGACTTTCTTGGCTGAATAACTGCGGAAGATGCAGCGAAAGCTCGAGACTTTAGAGAGGTGACGACTGGGGAGTTCCAAAAACGCACCGACAGAAAGAGCAAAGTAGACATTTGCAGAAATTATTAAAAGCTATTGATCATAGTGCTGGCTTTGTCAATCTTTTAAAAGACAATTGGTACCTTTTAGCCTTCTTTTTAAGCCCAGGCCCTACTATAATAAAATTTGTAGTGTGAAATCCTCGTATAATGAATTCGAGCGTCCCTGCAGTGCACCCCTTCAAAGTAGCCTAATATGCGCGCATCGGAAACATTTAAGTCATGACAATAGTTTGTCTGACAGAAAACACCTGTGCAGCACTCTGTGATGTCGGAATAAACACAAATCACCACAAAAGAGGAACACATTTTTATCGAGGGGATTCTTCACACCAAACGCCCTGTCAAAATCCGACAGAGCACAAATAAAAGACCTGTCTGCAGCAGACGCATGCAAGTGCACCACAGACTAATAGCTATTTCAAGTAGCCTAAACGCTATTCTCTTCATTGAATGCATGTCTCAAATTACATTTTGTGGGTAGATGTGTTTTCAACTTAAACAGCGGATGTTACTCATTGTAAATGTGTTTTTTAAGACCGCATAGACCCTCTACTCTTACCAGTACTACGTACCGGCTGTAAATCTTATAACGGTACGTCGTACCGGAGTGTACAAGCTTACTTTCACCCCTGTTAATAATCCTAAGAAAAACAATAAGGTTCCATAGCACTACGTGCTTTGGACCCTTAAAAAAAGCAGTTAACTGATGCTGTGAAGTAATCCTTGCCAATCTCACTGTACTGCAATAATTTGTTGCGCAGTCCATGGACTTTTGAGGAACATCTTTCTGCACCAATATTATAAATGACCTTCTGCAAGATCTCAAATGTGTAGTTTATGTTCAGTGCATAGAGAAGGCCAATCAAAATTATAAATGCATTAGGGATGTCTTTAAGGTTGTCCAGAACAATTCGATGCTCCAGTACCGAAGAGAGAATACAGACATCTTTAGGCATAACATCCACTGGCATCATTAGCAACAATCAGGATCCCTATGTCAACATACTTCACCATGTCCTCCTCTGAATCAGCTGGCTACAAAATCAAAGTAATCAAAATTATTACTTGCTGCACTTCTTTATGAAAATAAAAGTAAGTAGCATTTTCATTGCATATCTAACAATGTTGATACCTCATGTAGCATTTAAAATGCAATAGGGTAAAATGTGTCTTCTGAAGACTTTAAAGTTGTATCTTATATTTACTTCAAGTGCAACGATTTAACAAATGCACACCAAATATATTTTACATTATTCTGATTGGCTTTGTTTTAACATTTAGCACTTCTGCTGCACAGAGTTAGATCTTGCACAAAAGTTGAAATTGAATCCACAGCAAGAACAAGAAGATGACAGTTGGATGAGCATAAACAGCTCAAAACGATTCCTAAGATTAATAAAGAGTATACTTTGAGATTAACTTGATACGTACCTCAAATATCTTCAGGAAGTTTGTGGGAACTTTCTGGTTGGAGTCTTAAAATGTTAAATCCAAAAAAAAAACAATTAATTCAGATAAAATAATCAGATTCACATACAGTTGCAATCATAAATATTCAATTCCCCCAAAGATTTTAAGGATTTACCAATGAAAGTTTTGCCTAAGAGCTAGAATTTGCTTTGGATAACTTATCGGTTGATTTTTATGTAAAATCAACAACGGAAATGTATGATGTTGTTTTTGTGAGTAATAGGATATTATATTAATATAGCTATGTCACAATTATCAACCCCTGTATAATATTGCTATTTTTAAAACCTACTGCTAGTTTTATGGCCTAAAGTGGAACTAAACATAATTAAGCCTTTGGGTATTCAATAATGATCCTTAATTGGATTCAACTGTAATGCATATGTAAAACCTCCGCTCAAGGGAAATAATTTCATTGCACCTGAAGGACATCAGGTATGAGAGAAACTCCCAAAAATTTAACATTCCAAGAGGCACCCCTGGAAGCATTTTAAGGAAGTTTACAACTTATGGAAAGCCTGCAAACCTGCCTGACCAAAAGAAAAAGCCCAAAATTTCACCAAGCCCTTAATCTAGTTGATTGATGCATTTTGAAAATTTGGATCATCATACTGTATTACAAAATCCTCTATTATTAAACTTCAGTAAGTCTTCAGTAGTGTTTTGAGTTCTTCAACTGTCTGGTATATAGTTAATGACAATATTTATGTTATCAACAGCAAGAGTGACTCAGCAATGTACTGAAATTAGGTACAGTAATTAAACACACATACACATAGTACACCTGTAGGTGTTATGGATAAGGGATTTATTTAACATTAATTCACATACAGTGGTACTTCAGTTCTCGAACTCATTAGAACTTGAATTTCTTAAAATTCAAACCAACCAGTTCGAAAAAAAATTACCTAGAGCTCGATCTGAATCTCAGAAGTCAAACTGTGAACACCGACCTAAGATAACTTGTATGCGCGGGGAAATGAGTCACGCGGCATGTCTTTCAGCGGAAACAAAGGGTAAAGCTTCCGTCTCAGCCTCGCATTCGCTGTGATAGCATCGTGCATGTTTACACTAGCTGAATACATATATTTAGACAGTAAAAATACATTTAGACAATGATAGTAACAGTAATTATTAATATATAATAAAATACATTTAAAAATAAAGATTTCTTATTCATTATTTTAATATCATTAATAATAAACCATTCATACATTTAATTATAATAACATTGTCGTGCCGAGTGGGGACGAAACGGAGACAAAGGCGCAGACGTCAGGGTATCAGGGAATACGGGGTTTAATTACAGATAACGCAGGCAAAACGCAGACGGACAATACAATGACCGGACTGGGGAAACAAATACAGAGGGCTAATGAAAACAACCAGAAACAGCTGATCACACGGGGATTCCACACGGGGTTAACGAGGGGACGTGGCACACGGAAGGAGCGGACGGTCGGGGCAGGACACATTGTTGTTGTTTTTTTTAAATTTACATATTGTTTGGATATATTTATTTTCTTACTTTACAAATTACTGTTTTGATATATGTGCTTAGATGTGTTTAGTACAGTATATGCTCTTGTGTTCATTTTGTGTTTAAATGCTAAAAAAAAACCTAAATATGTTTGGGGTTTTTTTGTTTTTTTTTTAGCATTTAAACACAAAATGAACAGGATAAAACAAGAAGAGCATTTTATTCTTAATGGCTTCCAAAACGATAAAGATCTTATCCCAACATTACCCCTGTCCTGCCCCGATCGTCCGCTCCTTCCATGTGCCACGACCCCTCGTTAAACTCGTGTGGGGTCCCCATGTGATCAGCTGTTTTTGGTTGTTGTCTTTAGTCCTCTGTACTAAGTCCGTTTCAGTTTGTTTCCCCAGTCCGGTCATTGGGTGCGTTCGACTTGCTTACAGCGCTGGCTTAAAGCAATGCATTCTGATCCTGACGCAATGCATTACGGTTAGATGCATTGCAACCTCTCACCCGGCTGCACAAACTGGAACCGCCTCCGTGACGACACACCTTTGCCCTTATTGGCTGAAGAGTTTAGTTACACGCATGACGTTTGTATCCCAGGCAGTTCCGATGCGTAATCTGCTATTTCTCCCGAATATCACGTAAAGCAGTGAGAACTGGTTTTCAGTGAATTTACCTAGTAAAATAAAGTTAAAATATATTATATAAATGCTCTAATAGTACACGTAAGTTAGTGGTTTATTTATTGTTAGTTACTATAATGTTGCTCTGCTTTATTTGGTTAATCGTCCAGTCTGTGAAGAAGGCATTCAAGTAAGAATTGCATTGTAGTATAACTCATTTCCTGGCGTGTACAATTTATATTAGGTCAGCGTTCACGGTTCGACTTCTGATATTCAGATCGAGTTCTAGGTCAAACTGGTTTGTTCGACTTTCAAGAAATTCGAGTTCTAGTGAGTTCGAGAACCGAGGTACCACTGTATATAGTATTTATAGTCTACAAAAAACAAACATCCAATTAAATGTTAATTCTGTTCCTTCTTGCTAATGTTAAAATTGTCATTAAAATAATTACAAGGGAATTTTTAAAATCATACAGAAATCCACACCTAAACTTTGCTATCTGTTTGATTTTGTTAGTACTAAATACAGGTATTGTGAAAATAATATGGTGCCTGTAATGGAAATGGACCAAGGTTTGATATTGTGGATTTTCTGTGTGTATTTGGTGAATACTGGTGGTCGTATGGTACATAGATTTTATTCAGTTTCATTTATTTTATTGCTAATAATACCTCTTTGCAATAAGAGTCTATATTAATATAGACATTGTGAAGTTTGCATTGCAATTCAATTAAAAATATGAAAATATTTCTGTGTATTTCTAGTCAGAGTTCCTGCAAGGAAAAAAGTTTTACAGTTTGGATGAGTTCAGTCTTGCAATTGAGCACTTTGAGACAGCAGTGGAAGAATACTTTGCTGCTGATCTGGAATGCCGTGCCCTCTGTGAGGGAATTTACGACTATGATGGTTATAACTACCTGGAGTACTCTGCTGATCTTTTCCAGTCAATGACAGGCAAGTATAAGTGGAGCATTTTATGCTTTCCGAATGTGTTAATTTTTTATTTTAATATGAACATACATTTAGACGTATTAACCTTTCTGGAGTGCTGAATATAAGCTCGGTTTTATTACAACTGTATTAAATCTTCCAGTTAAATGCTTACCTTTACCTCTTATGGACATTAATTCATCCATCATCATACCTTAATAGTTTAAAATTATGTAAAAATTGCTAATTTGTTACTTGGGGAATACCAAATGAAATTGCATTCACACTCACTATCTTAAGTTGTTTGACCTTTACGTAGGATGCATAAAATAAGCTATACTATCAGGGCAGTACAGAGACTTATTGAGGATAATGATGTTCAGAGGCTAAACAAAGGGGGATTCGGTACCTTTAGAGCTCACAGACAAGTTCATATTAAATAGTCTGGGCAAAACGGGGAGGCACCCCCAGTACTTAAGTACGTGTATACTAAATACTTAATAAAAATGTGTTGGAGGTAGAATGTAACTAGCATACATTTTCTGTTTTCTCTTTCACAGATCACTACATGCAAATTCTTAACTGCAAACAAAATTGTGCCATCGAACTAGCCATCCTGCCGGGCACTGAAAAACCTTTGGAAGATTTCCTGCCAGGACATTTCAACTACCTGCAATTTTCATACTTCAATAGTGCGTCACTAACATGTAGTTTAGTGTCTGTTGTAAGATTTTTTGATTAGTTTAAAATGATATAGAATACAAAATTTCATTGACTCGCTGTTTGTGTATCTAGACCTAAATGTTTTATCTTTTTCACAGGGGAGAACTATGAGAAGGCCATTGAATGCGCCAAAACATACCTGCTGTTTCACCCAGAGGAGGAAGTCATGAATCAGAATGTGGCTTACTATTCTGCTGTTTTGGGAGAAGAGCAGGCTATGGGCATTTCTGCCAGAGAGGTAGTCCTACAAAATATTAAATATTTATTTGCCCCGCAGGTGGTGGGCCCACAGGAGGGTGGGCCCAGGTTACTCCTTTGGGCTATGCCCAGCCGGGCCTTGTTGGTGGAGGCCTGGCTACCAAGAGCTTACTTTCAATCTCCCACCCCAGGCCTGGCTCCAAAGTGAGGCCTCTGTTTCCCCCAATCTGGGCAGGGTAACATTGTCCTTTATGTCTTTCTTCATAGGGGTTTTCTGAATTGCAGTTAGTCTGGCCACTCAACTAGGACCAATTTGATTTGGGGGCCCTACCAGGGGTATTGCCCCAGACAACATAGCCCCTAGGATCACAGAAGCATGCAAACCCCTCCACCACGATAAGGTGTCAGAAATGAGTCAGCCTTAGAGATAGGGTGAGGAGCTCAAAATAGTGCCATTGAAATTTACTAATGATGTGCAGTGAGTTAGTCGTGGAAAGATATTTGATTGCTCCCTCACTCTAATTACCCCTGCTTAATAAATTTGGCTCTATTAGTTTAATTTTTATTTTCTGCTCTTAGGTGATCCAGAAGCACATTACACAATCTTTGTTGGAGAAGGAACTGCTGTATTTTGGCTATGAAGTTTTTGGAATTGCATTTGTTGATCCGGTAGGTAAAAAAAAAATTCAGTTTTGTATGCACAAATTGACGGATTCTGTTTTTCAGTTGTTTGTTTTGCATGTAGCGCAAAATCTTCTAATTCATTTTTTCTGGCGTATTCTTCTTCTTAAACTTCTGAACATTAATACTTCACATTCCCTGCATGATAGAACTAAGACTCATTCAAGTCAAGGGAAAAACCTCTAACTGCTACTTCATTGCACCCATTTCAAGGATTCATGGACTCCTCCCGATATCATGCCTCAGAAGCTGAGAGACAAACAGAAGTAATGCAGTTTATTTATATTCCATCCAGTATAGACCATTACAAATTTTCCCCTTTGTTTATTATTTGACTTCGGTAATCACACCAGTCTGAAACACCCTATAGGACAGAGAGAGAGACAGCAGCTCGGATAACAGAGGAAATTGGCCATCTTATGAAGGAGATTGAGACACTTGTGGAAGAAAAGGCTAAGGAGTCAACTGACATTGCCCAGATTGTGCGAGAAGGTAAGCATACTGGAGATTACTAAATAGCTGTTGGTAGTTAAAACACCTTGTTCAGTTGTCATATGTAGACTTTATTCTTCACAATACATCATAGGTTTCAGTTTACAGTACCACAATACGGTTTGCTGGAATTTCTAATTCTGTTATGTGTTGTACACTAAATGAGTGAAGATATTTTAATCTTAAATATGTGTGGTTTTGTCCTCACAGGTGGAAGTGTGCTGTTTGATGATATCGTTGTGGCCATGACATCTAGATCCTTGAATGGGTCTCAGAGGGTGGTCTTGGATGGGGTGATCACTGATGATGAGTGTTGGGAGCTACACCGCCTGTCCAATGTGCGTTTGTATTCTTATGCAAGAGTTATCATCACTTTTACTCATGATTTGTAGCCTTTTAAAGGAAGCATTTCAAAAGGGGACCCATTAGCTGTATAGGTGCAACCAATAAACCTGCTTTAGCAGGTTTCTCATTTGTCACTTTCTCATTTCACACTGTACTGTGTCTCACTCTGACTCATGCTATCTATTTTGATGATGTCATGACTATGTTAGACAGCTGCATTAAAAGGTGATGGCTACAGGGGGAAGCCCTCACCTCATTCTCCTAGCGAGATGTTCCAAGGAGTTACTGTCCTGAAAGCTGCAAAGGCAAGGTTTCATTTTTTTCTATGTTTTGAAATGAAAATCCATGATCAAATAGATAAATTAAGACCTTCCCAAAGCTAAAAGGAGAAAAGACATAATAATAATAATAACTTATTATTATTATGATGATGATATTAATGATATATTATTATTTTGTCATCTTGTTTATTGAAATTGTCATCTTTTTATTGAAATCCCTATGAATCAAAAAAATATGTAACAATCAAGTGTGTTTCTTCCTTATAGATTTCTTGTCTTACTCATACTTTTTCTCTTTTCAATCAAATGTATTTTGTCATGTTAGGATCTGTCTGTTTTTTCCTATAGATGGGGCAGGAGGGGAAGGTCCCTCTCAAGAGTGCCCAGTTGTACTTCAACCTGAGTGAGAAAGTGCGCAAAGTTGTGGAGTCCTACTTCCGCTTAGAAACTCCACTTTATTTCTCCTACACTCACTTGGTCTGCCGTTCCGCATTTGATGGTGAGCACATTTTTCTGCTATTCAGAATTCCATATACTTTACATAAAGATTTTTGATTACTTGTTCACCTTAAATATTATTATTATTATCATTTATTGGCATGCATATTGTTTTTCTCTCAAAACACTTATACCGTACTATAATTGGTTGCATTGTAAACATAATGTCCTTATACACTCACCTAAAGGATTATTAGGAACACCATACTAATACGGTGTTTGACCCCCTTTCGCCTTCAGAACTGCCTTAATTCTAC